TATATATAAGTATGCAGTTCTACTGTACAAAAAAAGCACATAATTAAAATAAACTTGGAAATATTTGATAAAAGCTGAGTACAGCTGAATTCCAATGTATTTAATGATATGCTATTCACTTCTATCATGATTTTATCAACATTTATTTGCTGTCACTAAGCGTTAGAGGCTTTTAAAAATGGAATATAGCAGCCACTAAATCGATGTTGGATAAAGTGTGCAGTACACTTGTTTGCAAGCACCTTCCCAACACACCTCATATATTCATTGTTCCAATGACATCATAGAGAGGTTCCAATTTCTGCTATCTACACAATTTGGCAAGTATGCTCAGCATTTCTTCAGTAGCTTACTTGGTGGCATCAGCTCCACTGGTTATTAAGGTGTTAATCAAAAGCTCGTGTCCATATCTTGCAGCCACATGGAGCGGAGTGTTGCCGTCCTTGTCAACACAGTCAATTTCTCCTCCTGAAAACAACATTTTTAATACAAAAATAATACACAAGGCTCAAGTACAATTCAGGCTTCACAAAAAATGAAAGAAAGAAACCCACACACCAATACTATTTATTACATCTATACCAATCAGCTTAAGGAAGCATATATGTCTCTCCTTCTTCCAGCTTTATCTTCATAACAAAGCACACAAGAATGGATGATGACAAGTATTTTAGTTTTCTCACCATTCGCAATACAAACAACCTCAGGACATTCTAGTTGTAGATTCACTGAGATGCTACAACAGAAAATAATCATTAGGAATTCATTATACAGGCTTTCCTGATAATGATATAAGCCCCAAAACACATGGTGATCACAATGCCACCATGCAAATCTCCATAATTCTCTCTGCAAGCTGTAGGCCATTTTGCTCAACTTCAAGATATCCTCTAACACCTTCAGCCAATTGTTTTATTTTGTTAACTTCCTTCCCCAACATTATTCTGAATGTTATTAGCTGGTTCACCTTGTCCACCTCCCTCTTCTAAATCTGAACAATATCTCTCTGGGTTTGAAATTCTCCAGAATCTATGATACTATTATTTATATTATGAATAGATCCAGAAGAGAGGATGAATGAGGTGCTGCCAAGGCTTGATATTCGTCAACATTGTTACCAATAGACATACATTAAAAGAACCACATTAGCCTACATCATCTATGGAATGATGGATCGTCAACAGAAGGCTGCTGTGGAAGGGAATTTACAGTCCACTCCAGTTCTGGTTTCCCAGCCCAGTACAAGAGAAAACATTAAAATAAAGAAGTCTTGTAGGGTGGAGGGGGGGAATCTTACCATTTTGAATGAGGGTTTGGGACCTTGTGAACCTTCCATGTACAGCTGTCATGTGCAGTGGGCTCTTTCCATCTTTACTCTGTCATAAACAGAAAACCCAAAAAATGACCACTGCCAAATGACCACAGTCATGCTTAGTGATAACAGAGGGTTGCTACCTGTTCCTGACTCTACAAAACTGAGCGTTCTGCCCACCATTGTTCCTTCTAATTGGCACTTTGCCACCCAATGTTGCTCTCAGCCTGGAACCAAAAAAGTTAGGTTGTTCCAAAACAACATTGTGGTTTCAACATAGCAACTCCCTTGGTATGAAATAATAAAATTCACAAATTAGTAGATTTTCTTAATCTACCCCAATGACCCTGTGAGCTTCCAGAATCTATAAAACACTCTGTGAGGGCACGGAAGCTGGTATCCAGTTCATGCTGGTGCAATGCAAAATTACGCTAGCATAAATGTGCATGGGCATTACACCTTGTAATAAAGAATTGCGCTATGCAATAGTGCAATCAGTCACATGTCCGCAGCATGACTGACTGGTCAATGTATCAGCAGAAGTACTTCAGGGATAGCACTTCTGTCTCAGCACCATGCAAAAACCATGGGCCCAACTTCTGTTGTGAACATGTCAATGCACAAAAGGATTTTGGCCACTGATTTGAAAATGTTGGAAACATTTTATGACTTATATGACGATTGCCCACGTCACTCATGCCATTCATATCCATGAGCTGATTTGCATGAACCTATGAGAGGACTGGAGAGGCGGAGTCAGCAGCTACATGAGGCTTGGCGGGAGAAGGAGGAGTCAGATAAGGCTGGTTAGTCAGAGAGAGAGGGAACAGATACTGAGAGAGATAAAGCTGGTTAGGAAAATAGGTAGAGAAGGGAGTTATGATATAGCAAGAGAAAAGAAGTATGTATTGAGAGAACTGTTGATGAATTGCTTATGTATAATGTGTATCTGAAGAACTTCTGTTATTATTCAGTCTGTTTCACTCCAATAAATAAGTTCTGTTTCTGTTCACAAGACAAGTGTTCTGACAAATGTCATTTATATTGTGGACTGAGGTAATCCACTGGTGGCAGCGAGAAGAAAATGCGATGTGAGCCTTTGTGAGGGAAAGACAAGCAGGGGCCACGAGGGCAAATGCCACAACTGTCTAGACACACAGTTTCTGGATTCCCAGTGAACACTTGGAGATCATCACTGTTATTCTACAGATAGCTCTCACTTCAACCCAAGGGCATGTGGTAGGGAAGACAGAGTCTAAAGGAAACAAACGTCAGGCAGATAATATAAGAAATTAACTAGACTGCAAGGAATGGGGCAAGACATGACAGGAAAGAGACAAAAATCTTTTTTTAAAAAAATATATTTCTCTCACTCTATTTGTCCTGGATCCAACTATGTATGTATGTATTTATTTATTAAAAATCTTTTTACCATGTCTTTCTCCTTAAAAGGATCCAGGGTGGCTTATGGTAGTATTAAAAGCTAAGGACAATATATTATTACAATATTTAAAAAGAAATAAATTTAATATTAAAAACTAGTAGATAAAAACACTACTAAAGACACATTAACAACTGATAAAGATTCAGGGCTATTTGCTAGCCCGACTCCTCAATTTTAGCCCTAAATAATACTGCAGGAAAAGGAGAGTCTTGTGTAAATTGTTAACTATCCCAAGCTAGCTGGAGCCCTGGTCAAGTCTGTATGTCCTTGTTCAGGGCTAGAAATGTACTTGGAGGGTTTTGCTGCAGGCCTCACTTTGCCAAGGCAAAACTGGACATTTAAATATATCTTAAATTGGCTTTCAAAAATATGGGTTTGAAGATGGAGCAAAGGTGGGAGTGGCAAAGAGTAATGGTAAAAATACAATTTTCAAAGAAAGAATAAGGATTTAGTGAAAGTACAGTGGCTAGTTCTGTTACCTCATATACTGTACCCAAGATACTTTGCATAATCAAGGCAATCAGGAAAACTAAAGCAGCCACAGTGGCCGTTACTTGTGACATGCTTGTGGCATGCTTCAGGTGGAAACGTGGGGAGCATGTGCACAATAGCCTGCCCCACACTCCCTCCTGTTCCTATTCAAGGATGCCACAATCTCCCCATGAACAGGAGACACTTGTGATATAGGTTAGGCACCATTACGAACCAAAAAAGTGGCCTCTCTTCTCACTCTTGACTTAATAATAGTAATGAAAACAATGCAATGGCATGTCCATCATCCTACAGTGATTCTTATACAGTGATAATCTGCCTGTTTTGGTCCACCAACCATTGAATACATGAACTGCCCACAACTTATTCACAGGAAGACTGGCAACTCAGATGCTCCTCTGCTACCTCAAATCTACTCTGCTCCTTAAGGCACTGGAGGAAATCAGAGTCCCTGTCTTAGTTCCCTGTGTGTGAAATCAATAGAACAGTGACCTACTTAAAAGGATCTTTTAGAAAGAGAAAGGGTGATTGTACTCAGAAAGTCAAAAATATAGTGGAAAGTGCTGCTAATCCACCCACTTTTCCATACAGGCATGCACTTCAGAACCACCTATACTCTTTGCTTTACTAAACGTACACCAAAACTAAGCATATTATAAGATGCCGGGCATATCCTTCACTTGTCTTAAAGTATTAAATTGAAGTAGAGATTGTATTCAGATGATTTAAATGAGAAATGTTAAACTGTTAATTTTTACCTGAATGTTAACATCTGCCCCATTATTCACTAACAGTTCCAAACAAAGAGCTCCATGAGTAGAAGCAGCAGCAAAATGCAGGGGAGTGAATCCACTGTTATTAGGCTGGTTGACATTAGCTCCATAGTCAATCAGCTCATTAGCCACTAAATCCTGCCCGTTGTAACAAGCAATATGAAGGGCAGTATTTCCATAGATGTTCATTTCATCAATCTGCAATGAAACAAGACCAATTAATGAAACTACAGACATCAGCTCATTAGTCTTGCTGTATCCACTGCTGACTTTATGTTGAAGCAACTGGAGAGTTACATGACATGGTTTGCTATTGTACATAAACAGATTTCATTGACAAGAAGAAATCCAGTAAATAGCAATTATCGTATTTTTTCCATGTATAAGACTATACTTTTGTCTAAAATCTTTAGACTAAAAATTGAGAGTTGTCTTACACACGTAAGTAAGCTGAGGAAAGAACAAAAAAAGTGGAGGGGAAAGCAGGGATCAAAGCGATCCTGCAGCGCTTTGATCCCTTTCCCCCTACACTTGCTAAGCCCCACTTAGATTTCTTAATTTTGGATTAGAAAAGTGGGGGGGTCGTATATGCAGAAAAATATGGTAATTAGGTACACCATTCCCAGGAGAGAGAGATTCTTAGAAAGAATGACAAGCCTTAAGACCTGTCTGGAAGGTTTCAGGTGCCTAAAGAAGTAAGATTAGATTAGGCATCCTTCAGTCTCCAGAGACTATGGTAACGTGCTCTGAACAGAAGACTTGGATCAGCATCTAGTGTGGCTGAGAAGGCCAATTCAAGAGTGACAGTTCCTTCCACACTGAATTCCTTCCACACTGAAAAAGTAAAAGCTACTAATCAAAATGCAGCTTTTCTATACAGCATTTCCCCAGTATAACAGATTTTTATACGAAAAGAAATTAAAACAGGAAAAGAAAGTATGCGGAGGTGGAGAGAAAACATAGGAAGGTTAAAAGTAGAAGATTTCATGTGGACCTTCCCCCCTCCCAAATAAATGAAAAGCAATCACACGCTGAAAGCCTTAGAAGCATCCTTCATGAATTAAATAAATGTTATAGGGGAAAAAAGCTCATCTCCAGTGTAGAAATTTCAGTAGCAATTTTGAACACCTTTGTGTTACAGATGCAGAAAATTTCCAGAGGGACTGCTGTCTTAAGTCTGTTACAGGGAAAGCAACAAACAGAAATATGAGGTATATTTCCCCAGCTGGTATATATTATGGTGTGTCTGCATGCCTTCCCCACCCCTCCCCTTGTTATTTCAAATTTGGTGGGAAAACGAAGTCAAGGAGTCTCCAATCACTTAAACCTGTCACTCTCAGAAGCTACGGTATATTAATATCACGGCCAAGAAAGATGAGAAAATCCATAATAACCCAGATGACAAAAATGGGTTCCTTCATAAACTTTGCCAAGGAGGAGAAAATAAATTTTAAAAGGCACTGAAATCTAATTTCATAGCAGAATGAAAGTCCCAACAGCAAGGAATTATATCTATTAAATTATGGTGTTCAGTGTTCACCAGCATGTTAAAAATAGTATTAATCGCTTCTTACCTCCACACCAAGATTGAGGAGGTGTTTCACGACACTGTTCTGCCCATTAGATGCAGCCGCATGAAGTGGAGTGTAACCCTTTTTATCTTTACATGTCACCTCAGCGCCATGACTGATCAGCAATGAAACGACTTCCAAGTGGCCTTAGAAAGAAAGGAAGAAACATGAAGCATTACCTATGTACCCCTGTGGTGTAATTTTCTTTTAAAAGGATCTTTTGTTACCAGCCCATCAGTTTGGGCTCAGATTAATTTACATTTTGCAAAGACAAGCATTTCACAGCAAGCATTAAAAGCTTCAGACAGCAATTGTTTTTGAGAGAGTTGAAAGCAGCTTGAGAGTCCACACCACATAGTTATCTTGACAGTCTGTTGCCTGTACAACCCTACCCTAAAGCAGATTGAAGCTACTGTCTCTGGCAGCAAACACTGGGAAACTGAAATAAGGTATATAGGAAGAGAGCTAAATACCACAGAGTCCATTTTCAGCCCCATAAGCAAGTCCAGAGCTTGGAACGTTAAATCTGAAAATTAAGTTGCTGGTATTACATGTTAGAAATAGGCGGTCAATTCACTGTTTTCAATGCTTAAAAGTGAAACACTGAATTCATTGAATTAGCATTATTGATTCATTAAATTGTTAATATTTAAATAAACACCAGGGTTTAGAAAGAACTGCGTATAGGTTGTCACCACAGATCCCTAGTAACACATTGGTGTTGTAGCCTCTTTCTTTAGTTTTAATTCTATAAATGGGAAAACAACATTTGCTACTGGCGCCTTCAAAAGTTCTTTTTTATCACTTTGGAACTGCTTTCCCTTGTTTGGCACCTTCCCTGGTGGATTACACATCCCCTAATGCAACTATTAGCTAGCAAAGATGACCCTAACATATCCATATGCAGAAGAGTGTGTGAATCTCCACCCATAGTGGAAGAGACACCTAGGCACATTCAAAAAGATTAAGTCTACACAAAGCCAGTATTTCTTTGATGACTTCTAAATGCACAGGAGTGTGGATAGACAGATGCAGCATAACACAAAGCAAAATATAAATAAAAGATTTGCCTCAAATATAGTCATTTAAAAAGCTGCTCAACTCCCCTCTAGACTTAATGGACAATCAGATGAGCATATAGTTCATTATCTGGTTCATTTCTGCTGCAGTTTGATCCACCCCATCTTCTGGGGACTATATGTGTTTTAAGCAGGAGCAATCCATCCCACCTCTTTTGTGAACTGTTCCACTCCTTTTTGGCACAGTGCTAGAGCTGCAGTTTATTTGGTGTAATTGAGAGTACTCCTAATTATCCCATTCTTCAGTCTGTATGATTGTTTAATTCACTCCCAGACAGAGCTATTCCCAGTGATAACCCAGTGACATATGCAATGGATTGTGACAGTAGAAAGAATGGCAGTGAAACCCTCTCCTCTAATTTCCTCTTCTCAAAATTTTAAAAATATTTTCCTAAGTGATGCAACGCTATTTCAGATATGGAGTATCCATGCTTGGTTAATATATTGCTGTAGCACTATGCCACTTATTAAAATCAAGCCAAAAAAGGAAAGATGTGACAGTCCAGTGAACAGCAGATGTGATAAAACGTAGGGAAAGAGGAGAGGTGGGTGCATCTGTAATCAAAAGAGGGAGAAATTGGAGCAATTGGAAAAGCTGTTTGGATCCTTCTCATGAGAGAAGATTGATCTCCTATATAAATAGACAAATCACTCAAGTGTAAGTTAAGATAGATCGCACTGAAGATAAAAGACTTTTAAACACAACCCAGATTTCTCTTGTACTCTGGAAAAATTTCAAATGCCAAGGTTAAGTAGAACTTCTAAAGAGCTGGTTCTCGTGGGGAGGTATATACTGAAGAAAACGTACTAGGGTTGCTTTTAAAGCATTACTGGTATTTTTTTCATCATCATAGGCATCCTTCCGTCTCGAGAGACTATGGTAACATGGTCTGTATGGAGGACTTGGAACAGTGTCTAGTGTTTTGACACTGTACCCGAAGCTGGGGTGTCCTCTCCAGGGCACGAAGCCTGAGTAAAATAATATGGAGGATAGGCTGTTACCCAAGCAAGTAGCAAATCCCCCCTCTCCACGTCACTAAAATAGTCCAATGGAAAGGCAAAAGCCAATACAACTGGTTTCAGCGACATCACAGGAATTGACAGAATGACGCGAACTGCCTCCGGGACTCTGGCTCCGAATTTTAATATTCTATATTGTACCCCTCCCGAGAGATCAGCAATCCTTGCATGAAAGTATAAAAACTGGACAATGATAAAAGATTTAGACAGCTAAAATAGTCCAATGGAAAGGCAAAAGCCAATACAACTGGTTTCAGCGACATCACAGGAATTGACAGAATGACACGAACTGCCTCCGGGACTCTGGCTCCGAATTTTAATATTCTATATTGTACCCCTCCCGAGAGATCAGCAATCCTTGCATAAAAGTATAAAAACTGGACAATGATAAAAGATTTAGACAGACTCTAGGCCAGGGGTCAGGGAACTTTTTTACCTTTTACCCCCCAAAAAATTTATATATGCCAACATTACCCCCTTGATTCGAAAGGAAGGAAATCATACATTATTTGAATTAAAAATATTATTGAATCTTCACAGGCTGTGTACCGAACTAGCAGGATGCACCAAATTGGATAAAGATGTGCACTATTTTTGCTGGAACACATTGCACTCCAGCCATGGTGTGGTATAGGGAGTAGTAAGGTGTCCAACGTGCCTAGCAAGTTGCATTAAATTTTTGC